CATATATTGACTGAAATAAATTTACAGAGGGCAATGAGAGAAAATCCAAAGAAATTAAAAAGTGTGGACAGAGAACAACAGACATATTATTTTTACTAGGAACCTTTTCTTGTTTGGGAAATGAGAAAGTTGTTTCAGATAAAGTGGAGCCTTCCGAAAAAAGCAAAGTTGTGATTTAAAAAAACCAATTCTCTAGGAAGAACAATAAATTCATTACTTGCTTGTATCAGTATAACCGTGTTACAGAAAAAGTAAAATATTAGCTAATTCTAGGCCCATTTTTATCAAGCTTTTGAGGCATAAGGTAAGATTTACTCAGAGCATATATACCTTCCCAATTCCAGTTATTTGGGCTATTATTAAAATTAGTGACATTTGCACTTCCTCTGCCTGGTAGTGGTAATGCCTAGTACATTTAGTGAGCAGAAAGTTAGAAATTTATTGTAAATAATCCTCAAGTAATCCAAAGTTGTTTCAACTGCAGTTTAAAACCTGATAAGATTAATATTTCCAGTGCTTTAAAGACTTTCACGGACTCCTGATCTGTCCACCTAACTTCTAGATATTCATATAGCAAATCTTCTGAAGTGAAATGAGCTTACCTTCCCAAAAGTCCCCAAGAGTTGCAGCTTGCTTCCATTGTATCTTGCTTCTGCTAATCAGTATGTTCAAATCCGGTTTTTATCCTCTTCAATGTTCTAAGAGCATTCCTCTTACTGTTAAGCTAAGTCAAAGAATGTGGCCTTTGGTTGGTTGACTTGAGTGATTGACACTGGCTGATCGAGTAGCCTCTCCAGACAATGGTCTTTTGGACCACCTCTCTTTACACCACTGTTTTCCCCTCTTGGTTTTAATGATATCATGAATTCCTGGTTTCTCCCCATACTGCAAGGGCAATTCTTCCACAATTCTCTGTGTATGCCTATCCTCCAACTTTGAGGTTTCTCTAGTCTTTTTTTTTCTTACCTTGAAACCCCCTCATAATCAGAGAAGCAAATTTCTCACAAATTTATCTCCTATTTAACCCTCAAGTCTGGAATCCAGATTCATATATGAAATATCTTATTTGTCCTCACAAGTTTCAAACTATGCAAGCTGAATTCATGATCCTCTCCATGTCCAGCACTTTGTAGTACTGCCTATTTCAATGGATAAAAATCTTTCACCATCCCACCAAGTGCAAGAGCTACATTTGTGCTTATTCTTGCCATATCCCTCAGCTTCACCCTGTAGACCCAATATATCACCAAGCCAGGGCAGTTTGACAGTCTCTATCACCATCATCCTAAGCCACGCTATTTCTCCATTAGACCATTTTAATAGTCCCCAACTGTTCAGCTCATATTGCTGCATGATAAGCATGACTCCTAAGCAAAATACAATGGAATCAATACCCAGCCAGGAGGACTCTTAAACACCTCCATCTGTTGCATCCTGGTATTGGACTTACCAAAGGAAACAAAATGCTGGCAAACACTGGGTACAGCAACAGTGCTTTACTTATAATGAAAGAGAGCAAAATCAGCTTCCAAGGGTGGTGCATCACTCCTCCTCAGCAGCAGGTACCCCAGTAGCCAACACACAGAAAACTATTTATGAGCATCCCTCTCTGGTCACAGTAAATGGAACTCTCCTCCCCGAGGAAGACAAATATAGTAGTGGTATTGAACAGATGCCATATGATGCTTACACTATACAGAACAAAGATGCATACATTGAGTTTGCTACAAAAAATAATATTCCCAAACAATTAGATAAGCCCAGCACAGTCCTTGTGGGTTCTTTATCTCTTGGTATAAAAATGTCCCAGACTCAAAATTCATTCTTATGTAGCCAAGTAGGGATCAAAATAGTGTTTGCTTTTCTCAACAACTCTGCTCTCTACTAACCTTTCCTCCAAATGCAACCAGAGCAATCTTTGCTAAAGGAAAATATGTGATTGCACTACTCCCCTGCATGAAGCTTGCCAATGGATTCCCATTTCTTTTAGGATAGTTGTGAAACCTTTTCTTGGTGTCTGTAGGACCTGGATGGTTTGGATTGCCCTCTCCACATCTCACAACAAGACTCTTTCAATCTCTCTGTCCTGCCGCTTCCTGTTTCAATACTTGGTATTCATTCTTGTCTTTCTCTTCAGCAAGTGTGGTTCATATTCCTTGAAAATGTTGTTCTTTTACTGAGCTAATCCTACAAGCTTAGAGACCTTTTTTTCCTGAAAAAAATGTCCCCTTCTTATCAGACATAGTCAAATCCCTCATTATAAGAATTTTTACTATTCTATTATAAAAACTGCCCAAATAGCCAGGCACAGTGGTCTAAAATGTGGTATTTTAACACTTGTATACATCCTCAATTTCTCAGTCTATTACATGTTTTAAGAGTATCCAATGTACATACAGAATAAGCCAACAAATCCCGAATCCTAAAATTGAATAGTTAATGAGTTCTAGAATTCAAGGTTACAGATATAACAATATACCTATAAAGTGATTTTTATATTACAACCATGTAGTACTTTGAATACAGCAAGGGTTAAATAAATATATGCTAATTACATGAACTTGTGCATTTAAGGATAACACAATTTACAGAAGCCAAAAAAAAAAATCTGTGGATAGTAAACAGATTTGGTTTGGCTCATACAGTCTGAAGAAAATGTTGAAGTAAAAATTTCAAAATTCTAATGAAATAGATTTAAAATATTTTAAGAGGCTAATCTGTTGAAAAATGGAATGAGAAAAGGCTTCATCAGAGGTAAAGATGTTCACTACAGATTTTCAAAAGGTCTACACATTTGCCAAAGATATTACAAAAGGAAGTGTAAGAAATTTCTAGAAAGTAACTCTTGTTCAAAATAGTTCATTGTCACCCACCAAGGAACAACACAGGTAGAAGCTCAGTAGATATTTGTGGATCAAATGAGTTCATATTGCTTTGAGAACCTATGGTGATTAATTTGAATATTTTCCATGGTGGCCCATATTTATCCCCCAAGAGTGAATTGAATTTGTGGAAACCACTGAAAGGCATTAGAAGCTAAGCTTGATGAATAAGGTAGATAGACTAAATAATAAATTTTGGCTTGTAAGTGATATAAAATGGAAGTGGGTGAGATAATACTTGTAATTATTCAGCACTCACCCTGGCCTAGGGCACAACCACTCAGTTGTAGGTATTAGTAACTGAATCTAAGAGTACATTCTCAAAAAGGAACTAAATAATGATAACATTATAAGAATTCATGTGTTACAATTCTTTTAAAAATGCATTTGGATGCAAACAAACTTTGGAATGGTCCATTTGTTGAAAGCAACTTTAATACTGATTGTATATTGATATTATGTGCCATTTTCTCAGAACCTTGATTACAGGAGTAACAATCTATATAGCTAAGAACTTTTTCTATAAAGCACTGAATGCAAAAAAATCTAAAGACTGAAAGTCTGTCCTGTATGAATATTTCTCTCTTAAATACAGACTTAAAATCCTTTTGCTATCTGGGCCTTCTTTGGGAGACTTTCACTGGGTTGAGTTTTTCAGGCACTGTGCTGATATCAGCAATCAGAGTTTTAACCAAAATGGAGAATACCGGGGTGGGGGGATCGAAATTGGGACCCTGTCCTGAAAATACAGATTGCAATGTATATCCTATAATTAGAGTGCTTTAAAAATGTAAAAAAAGAAGCAAAACCTTTATAAAATGCTGTTTCCAGAACAATGAATTATTATACATTTTGTGAATAAGCACAAAGAGGAGAATACCTGGGATATCTCTGCTGGTTTGACGTTTCTTGGAAAAGCTGCGGCAGTTCTCTGCTCTTGCAGTTTCATTTTTTTCTGCATAGACTTCTTTATAATTTTAGTTTCTGAAATGAATTCCACATCAGAATCTGCACCATCTGCATTTCTTTTCTGGCTTCCTTGGCTAAGCGAGAGCTCAAAGGATGAAAGTGATGCATGCCTCAAGTTATCACCTGAAGGAGGCCTGATTTTTCGAGTTTGGGGATTTTCCTTAAAGAGTAAAAAAACATGTTTTTATTGTTTGGTAGCTGGGTCATTTATAGTGGATAATCATTTCCCTCATAACATTATACTAGATGATATTTCTTACTACTAATAAATAGTTTAAAAGTCAAGCCAGGCGTGGTTGGTACACAGCTGTAATCTGAGAACTCTGGGAGGCCAAGTCAGGAAGATGGAAAGTTAGAACCCACCTTGGGCAACTTAGTGACTTAGTGTGACCCTGTCACAAAACTGAAAATTAAAAATAGGGCTGGAGCTGTAGTTCAGTGCCAAGGCCTTGGGTTCAATCCCTAGTATTATAAAAAAAATAAAAATCAAAAGTTTAGAAAGTCATTTTAGCAAATGTATAATAACGGTTCATTAAGAGTTTGATTCAGGGTCAGGGATTTTAGCTCAGTGGTTCTGGAGCCTGCCTCGCAAGTGCAAGGATCCAAAAAAAAAAAAAAGTTTGATTCAGAAATAGCTGCAGAGCTGGGTTCAGTCAAAAATCCAATTTTGAGGGTGAAGAAGAAGATCCCAAACTGAAAACATACTGTGCATCCTGACTTCCTCCCAACACAGGTTTACTTGCCTTCGACTCTCTTGTGCACACAAGGCTGTCTCCCGAACCCCTACCCCAGTCCACATCCTGCTTTCTGCCCTTTGATGGCTGCTGCTTCCTCTGATAAGGACACATTTGCTAAGAGAACTATAAAACATGGGTCTGCTTTCTAAGAAACTAAAAATAACTGGCAGAAGGAGACACCTTTAGGGTACAGCATGAGCGACGCTCAGGAACTCCTAAGTATGTTGTGATCCACCACTGCCCTAAGGTCTGCTGGTCAGCAAACCCTCTCCCCTCAAGGCAGAGGGCTTAGGCTTTTGGCTCCTGTTGTCCTTCATATAAACAACCGTCATTTTGGTAAAGTCATGCTACTCAGTGGACACTAGTTTGCTTATGTGTAGCCAGAATCTCAATACATGAGGTTATATTATTATTTTAGGGGCTTTTTGAAACACATTTATAACCTATTTCTCAGGGAAATTCACTTATATGTGATTCTTACAGCTTTCCACTCCAGGAGAATCCCTTTGCTGGTCTTACTGTCAGACTCTGTGATAATTTAGTATAAATAAAATGGGTAAACCCTGCAGCTGATTCTGCAATTTAATATAGAGTGGTCACAAATAAATTCCTATAAAAGGGGGAGTTGGCTTCAACTTATTACTGAGTGTATGAGTCCCTGATTCTTTGATATCCCACCAGAAGAGGCAAATAAAGAAAACACAAACTAAAAAGACACCTACTAGTTAAAGTGAATAGTTAAGAAATTCACTAAAGAAATAAAATATATTATGTATATCTATCTATCTAAAGGTTAACTAGAGCTTATGAATCCATTATCTGCCTGTTAAGACATATAAATAATTAAAATTTAAATAGTTTCCCACACATTTGTGTGTGTGGCTGATATGACCAAGAGACTTTAAGTCTTCACAACTATTCTCTTTTAAAGTAGTTCTAAGGTTCAAAAGGGTCTCTACATTTTGAATTTTAGATAATAACAGACATTTTAAAATATCTTATATTGCTGGGGATTTGGCTCAGTGGTTCCTCTGCCTGTCTCACAAGCACAAGGACCAGTAACCCCCCCAAAAGAAATCTTATATGTCATTTATCAACATGAGAAACAATGTAGGAATTACATATACAACACATTTATAGGTAAATATAAATCCACAGACTGCATTAATATCTCGCAGAAAATTATGGAAATAAATACAGTAAGATGTTTTAAACAGCCATCACTTCCAGGCAATGAGATAACGGAAACTTCTGAACCTCACAACCCATGGCAATGCCTCGCCCTCGATGTCATCACACTGACATGGAAATGTGACACAATTGGCTCCATCCTACACTGATTTACTCACCTTACACTCTGAAACAGAGCAGGTAGAAATGAACTCAGTGATCCTGCCCGTTGGTATCAACTGCAACTTTGATAGAAAAAAAAATCATTAAGGTAAATGTAATAAAAATAATTTTCAAGTGGCACATTATAGTGATTTGGTGTTCTTCATTTCTTAAATAAGAATCAAGACAGCACCCTGCACCCATCTCTGTTTAGATACCATGACAATGTTGAGATTAACAGTGAGTTGGCAGCCCCAGACATGCCAATGGTTTTAACTAATGGTTAGTTAAAGATCAGATCATTCAGATCAGGTGTCAGTTCTGAGCAGCTTCAGGGCACTGCTGTTTCAAACACTGTCTGGGTCTTGCCTCCACAGCCTTCCTTTCTCCTCTGTCAAGAGCCCTGCTCTCCACCTACTGGGCTCAGGCTCTGCAGTGAATCTTGACCTGCAGCAGCAGTTCTGCTGGGCTCAGAACTACAGACCTGAACTTTAAAAGCCTGAGGGGGACAGAGGAGCAGGTAAGCAGTAGGAGAACCTCTGGTAGCCCCCCCCCCTTCAGCCCAGCCTAGCAGAGCAGCCCAGCAGCACAGGTGTCAACACAGTTGGGTCCATGCCCCACCCCCTCCAGTGAACAAGAGAAAGAGAGCTTCTCTGAGGCTCCTAGATGAAAATTGAAGCCCACTGGAAAAGTGAAGAAAATCTCTGTGATAAAGGCATACCACACTACAAGGGACCAGCACCCCACATGGGAACCTGGTCCAACTGCAGAGGAAAGACAGCTGGAACCTGCAGTAGAACCTTGCAGAGTTCAACCCAGCAGGAGGTCAGATATCTCAATTTGGACCTTGCAGCCAGAACTCAGCCTGAACCTCAGGGGACAGCTGCTGGCTTGCTGAGACTAATTAACTAAGATCTGCACATTCCTGCCCATGATGCCTTGCTGTGTCAACAGAGACATGCCCTGAAGGAGGACCTTTATTTCTATTTGTATTTTTTTTTTATTTTCAAAGTAATATTTTTCTCTTATCTTTAATCATTTAAAAATTTTTATCTTTTTCTTTTCTCAATTTTTCCCTTTTTTTCTGTTCTCTCTCTCTCTCTCTCTCTCTCTCTCTCTCCCTCTCCCTCTACACCTTGATCTTCATTTCACTCCCTTTTTCTTCCTGTTCTATCTTAATACAGATTTATATTTTCTTTTCCTTTACTTCTCTTTTTCTTTCTCTCATTGCCATTAGTTTTAAAAGAAAGTAATTATAGTCTGTAGCCTTCCTTTGGCTGTTCGTTAGTTCTGTTCTTGTGTATATTTTGTTCTGTCTTCCTCCTCTTCTCTTCAACAGCTTCCTAGAGTTTAGGTGATCTTCCTGTGTCCTACGACCTTACTTCTAACCTTTCTCTATCCTATCTATCCCTCCCTCCCCAACTCCTTCTAAATCCCCATCCTGAAGGGTAAAGTTGCTATATTGAAGAGTTTATTTAATATAAACATGTTATGGGCTAGTACTCGATTTTGATTTAATTCACACAGTTAAAGATGATAGATTAATAACTACCAAAATTGTCATTTTCTAAGCTGTGCTTAATGCTATTGTGTTGCTGATTGTATCACTTGGGCTAAGTGTTGTGATACATCTAATGATTTGTCCTTCCTGGTATAATGAAAATGAGATTGCCTCAGAGTCACTAGAGACTCAAAACCTAAAGACTAGCTGTATCTGGAAGATCAAAGTATTAATCCAGGAATTAAACCAAGGACAGTACCAACAACAAAAATAGAAATGAGAAGACATTTAAACAAGGCACAAAAAAGACTTCCACCTCACCAAACGTAAACTCTGGGAGAAATGAGGTGGAAAAGACTTACAGTCAACCGTCTGGACACCCTGAACTTATAGCACAGGAAGTAACAAAACAGATAAATTAGGCTCTAGAAAAATTCAAAACAGAAATAATTTCCCAGATAACCACAGAGATGGTGAGAAGAATGAAAGACATGATTAGAGACCCTAGAACAGAAACAGATCAGAAAAATAGATAAGCTTGGGACCATGATAGAAACCATGAATGCTCAGGGTAGGAAAGAAAGGGAAACCTTGAAGCCCAACATAGGAAAGAAATGGAATCCATGAAACACATTCAAACAGATATCCAGATTAAAAACTTGATAGAAAGCATTCGCAATTTGAAGACAGAATTTCAGATATAGAAGATAGGATTGCAGTCAGTGACCATGAAGAGAGATCTCTTAAAAAACAGTAAGGGATCATGAGACATACATCCAACAACTCTTAGATGATGCAAGGAAGAATAATATAATATTGATAGGAATCCATGAAGTAGCAGGAGAAACTACAAATGGCATTAAAAAAACAACTGTTCGCAGAATTAATGACAGAAAATTTACCAAACTGAGGGGAAGAATTTGACATACAGATAATTGAGGCATAGAGGGTTCCAACTAGCCATGATAAAAAAAACAATCCACACATAGACATATAATAATCAAGATCCCAGAAACCCAACAGAAGAACAAAATACTATAAGCAGTTAGAGAAAAGAAACAAATCACATGCAAAGGAAAGCCCATCAGAATCACAGCACACTTTTCAACACAAACCCGTCAATCAAGGAGAGCCCAGAGTGAGGTATTTCAAGTTCTAAAAGAAAATAATCTCCAACGTAGACTGATGTATCCTGCAAAACTATCTTTCAAAACTGAGGGGAAAATAAGATACTTCCACAACAAAGAACACCTGAGAAATTTCATGAACACCAAATTGGCACTCCAAACACTTCTAAACAATATCCTGGAAAAAGAAAATGAAAGGCACAACTCCATAAGGGCCAACAAAGCAAATATAACAGGCAAGGCAAGAAATTAAAGGGAGAGAGGAAAATAAAAATAAAAGAACCAAGAATAGGAAAATAACATAACAATGAAAAGTCAACACATAGCAGTTATAACCATCAATGTTAATGGCCTCAATTCACCAATCAAAAGAAACAGGCTAGCAGAATGGATTAAGAAGCAAAATCCAACAGTATGTTATATACAAAAAAACCCACTTAATCCACAAAGAAATTCATAGACTGAGAGTAAAAGGATGGAAAACAGTTCTCCATGCAATAGGAGCCCAGAAAAAAGAGGGGGTAGCTATCTTATTTGCAGACAGAGTAGATTTCAAACCAAAACTAATTAAGAGACAAAGAAGGCCACTACATCCTTGTAAAGGGGACAATACAAGAGAAGAAATGACAATCATAAATATATATATGCACCAAATACTAATGCCCCCAACTATACAAAACAAATATTAATGGATATGAAAAATGAAATAAGCACCAATACAGTTGTAGTGGGGGACCTCAATACCCCACTGACACAAATAGACAGATCACCTAAACAAAAAAATCAACAATGAAATAACAAAACTGAACCAAGCTTTTGAACAAATGAACTTAGTAGATGTCTACAATGTTTCACCCCACAAAATCAGAATATACATTCTTTTTGGATGCACATGGGTCATTCTTCAAAATAGACCACATGCTAGCTCACAGAACATGCTTAAGTAAATGCAAAGGAATTGAAGTTATCCCCTGTATATTATCAGACCATAGTGCAATTAAGCTGGAGATCAATAGCACAAAAAACTGCAAGAACTTCACAAACACATGGAAATTAAATAACAACCCACTGAACAACCCTTGGGTCACAGAGGAATTAAAGAAGAAATTAGACAGTTTCTACAATTAAACAATAATGCCAATACAACATACAGGAATCTATGGGATACAATGAAAGCAGTTCTATGAAAGAAATTCATAGCAGTGATGCCCACACTAGGAAAACAGAGCAATCTCAAATAAACAACATAATGCTTAACCTTAAGCTCCTAGAAAAAGAAGAGCAAAACAAACTGAAAGCTCATGAAAGGGAGAAAATTGTGAAGATCAGAGCAGAAATTAATGGAATGGAGACTAAGAGAATGATACCAAAAACAAAATCAATAAATCGAAGAGTTGGTTTTCTGAAAGAATAAAATTGACAAACCCTTAGCCAACCCTTTCAAAAAAATGAAAGAAAAGGCTCAGTTCCATGCAATCAGGAATGCAAACGGTGAAGTCACAACAGATCCACCAGAAATCCAGAAGATCTTCAATACCTACTTTGAAAACCTGTACTCTAATAAAATGGAAAATACAGAAGAAATGGACAGATACCTCGATACATATGAACTTCCAAAGTTGAACAAAAAAGATATAAAAAGTCTAAATACCCCAATTCCATTCAGTGGAATTGAAAATATAATTAAAACATTGCCAACAAAGAAAATCCCAGGTCCTGATGGTTTCAGTGCTGAATTCTACAAAACTCTTAGCGAAGAACTATTGCCACTACTCTTTAAATTCTTCAATGAAATTGAAAAGGAAGCAGTACTTCCAAATTCATTCCTGGAAGCAAGTATTACTTTGATTCCAAAACCAGGGAAAAACCAAACCAAAAAACAGAACTACAGGTCAATCTTCCTAATGAACATAGATGCAAAATCTTCAACAAGATACTGGCAAACAGAATGCAGAAGATCATCAAAAACATCACACACTCTAACCAAGTTGGATTTATCCCAGGGATGCAAGGACAGTTCAACATACATACATCAATAAATGTAATACACTATATTTGCAGAGTCAAGGACAAAAATCATATGATCACCTCAATAGATGCAGAAAAATCATTTGACAAAATTCAACACCCATTCAAGATAAAAACCCTACAGAAAATTGGAATAGATGATCTTTATCTGAACCTGATGAAGGCTGTCTATGAAAAATGAACAGCCAATATCATACTAAATGGTCAAAAACTGAAAACCTTCACACTAAAACCAGGAACAATGCAAGGATTTATATTATCAGCACTCCTGTTCAACGTAGTTCTACAAACATTAGCCAGAGCAATTAGATAAGAGAAAGAAATAAAAGGAATAAAGATAGGAAAGGAAGAAGTTAAACTGTCACTATTTGTTGATGATATGATACTCTACATAGAAAACCAAAAAAACTCTGCCAAAAGACTTCTA